TCACTTCATCCCCACAAAATGTTTTGAACCAAGTACTGTTATCATCTCTATTTTACAGATGACAGAACAGAAATTAGGTGACTAGTCTAAGGTCATACAGCTAACACGTGCCAGAGCTGGGGTTCAGACTCAGGTAGTGTGCTCAAGAGTACCATGCTCTGGAATCTCTTCCTTCTGTGCTTGTAAAATGCTGGTAAGGCAACTGATTCTTTTTCATGTGTTCTTTGTACTTAATAACTCTGTGAGAGGTGATAGCATATGTGTATCTGTCTGATCTCCCTTTTCTCCTTTTCATTTTGTTTTATTCAAAAGAGAATAGACACAATCCAAATGGGGATTACAAAACAAGCTTCATTAATGGAAAACTTGATTCTAAAAAAATAGTGTGGATCCTAGACTATTTTTTCCCTACCAAAGATAAACTCATCCAGTTGCAGGAGAGAACAGGAAAATCCTCAGCTTCTTCATTCTGCTCACTGCATAGGATACAGAAAGCATAGAACAACCCTTGGCTATAATATAATTCAGTATATGGCATAAGTTTTAAACAGAGTTTATTTATATTTAACCACAAGCTTACCCTTCCTGGTGTTCCTGATGGGTTTCTTTAGTTATGTAGTCCATCAAGGATCATTTTCCATCAACCTGAAAAACTCTATTAATTAATTTCTTTTAGTGTAGGTTCTGCTAACAGTAAATTTTATCAGATTTGGGGGGGGTGAACCTTTAATTTTTCTTCTTGATAGATTTCCTCTTTGGGGAATTATTTTCAGCTGGCACTTTTTTCCTTTATCCCTTTGATGATAACATTTTATTGTGTTCTGTTCCTGTTCAAATTAAATTGTCAATCATCCTTCCTCCTCTGAGGGTAATTTTTTTTTTCCTCCTGACTTCAAGATTTTCTTCTTCATCATTCAGCTCTTTGATTTTAGTATATATAGATGTGTGATTTCCTTTGGACATGTCCCACTTTGATTCACTGAATTTAGTGAAATCTAAGTCATCTTTTATATGTTTTGAAAAAGTTGAGCATATTTATGTTATGAAGTTCCAGTTTTAAGATGCTACAACTTTTGACTATATTTCCTATTTGATTGTTATCTTTTTTACTTTTGCTGTTTTGCTAGATTTTATGCATAGTAACTTTCAGTTCTAGAATGCCTGTTTGATTTTTTTAATAAATTATTTTTAAATTCTTATTTTCATCTATTTAGTCTAGAATTTTCTGATCTTTATCTCCTTAGCCAGTAAGGCTGACACTTTCTGCTTGCACCTTATAGCCTGGGCTTGATTTGGAAAATGAATGCCGAGGTAAATATAGAACCTATCTCATAGTCTAAAATCCTGCCTGACTTGATTGTTCACTAGGGTCTTTAAATATATTTAAATATATTTTTATCCAGCATTTATAGTGTTTAAGCAGGGAAAAGGAATCCACCTACATTGTTGGTAAGGATGTAAACTAGTAAAGCAGTATAGCTATGGGAATTAGAATGGAGATCTTCAAAACACTATAATTAAAAATTCCACTTGACCTAGTTATTCCCTTCTTAGGAATCTTCCTCGAAGAGCCAAAGACATCATACTACAGTCATACACATAGCCGTGTTTATGGCAGCACAGTTCTAATATTCTAATCTTGGTAGTGGCCTGTATTTTCATCAACAGATGAACAGATAAAGAAAAGGTGGTATTATACAGTATAGAGTACTACTCTGCCATAAAGAAGGATAAACTTGAATTATTTATAGAAAAGTAAGTGCATATTGAGATCACAATGCTAAATAAAATAGACACACAAGCTTTAATATCTGGTTTATCTTATATGTGAAATTTAAAATATAAAGATCAAATAAAATATTGATAATAGAAAGTAGGAAGCTCTTTTCCAAATGGGAAGGGGAACAAAAGATGGGGGGGTGAAAAAGAGAATTGAGTTACACCAACTCCCCACAAATAATTATAATGTATGGCAAACATGTGCCAATAAAAGAAGGTAAAGTTTAGTAATATAAATATCATTGCAACTTTTTCACAATGGGTTTGCCGCAAGAGCACAGGTGTAGTGAAAACCACCATTAAATCCAAGCCAACATGGGAAAGGAAAGGACTTACATTAATATCATCATTATCAGACATGTGGACTCTGGCAAGTCCACCACCAGCAGCCATCTGATCTACAAATGCAGTGACATCGACAAAAGAACCATTGAGAAATTTGAGAAGGAGGCTGCTGAGATGGGGAAGGGTTCCTTCAAGTATGCCTGGGTGTTGGACAAGCTGAAAGCTGAGTGTGAGTGTGGTGTCACCATTGACATCTCCCTGAGGAAATTTGAAACCAGCAAGTATTATGTGACCATCATTGATGCTCCTGGACACAGAGACTTCATCAAAACATGATTACAGGCACATCTCGGGCTGATTGTGCTGTTCTGATTGTTGCTACTGGTGTTGGTGAATTTGAAGCTGGAATCTCCAAGAACAGGCAGACCCATGAGCATGCCCTTGTGGCTTACATACTGGGTGTGAAACACTTGTTGGAGTTAACAAAATGGATTCCACAATACCACCCTACAGCTGAAAGAGATACGAGGAAATTGTTAAGTTAGCACCTACATTAAGAAAATCAGCTACAACCCTGACACTGTAGCTTTTGTGCCTATTTCTGGTTGGAATGGTGACAACATGCTGGAGCCAAGTGCTAACATGCCTTGGTTCAAAGGACAGAAGGTCACTTGTAAAGATGGCAGTGCCAGCGGAACCATACTGCTTGAAGGTTTGGATTGCATCCTCCCACCCACTCGCCCCACTGACAAGCCTTTGCGGCTGCCCCTCCCAGGTGTCTACAAAATTGGTGGTTTGGCACTGTCCCTGTGGGCTGAGTGGAGACTGGTGTTCCCAAACCCGGGATGGTGGTCACCTTTGCTCCAGTCAGCATCACAACTGAAGTCAAGTTGGGGACAGTGTGGGCTTCAGGGTCAAGAACATGTCCTGTCAAAGATGTCTGGCATGGCAGTGTGGCTGGTGACAGCCAAAATGACCCACCAGTGGAAGCAGCCGGTTTCACTGCTCAGGTGATTATCCTGAAACATCCTGGCCAGATCAGTGCTGGCTATGCCCCTGTCCTGGATTGTCACACAGCTCACAGAGCTTTCAGGTTTGCTGAGCTAAAAGAAAAGATTGAACACCAGTCTGGGAAGAAGCTAGAAGATGGGCCCAAGTTTTTGAAATCTGGTGATGCTGCCATTGTTGACATGGTTCCAGGCAAGCCCATGTGTGTCGAGAGTTTCTCTGACTACTCACCTCTGGGTTGTTTCGCTGTTCATGATATAAGACAGTTGCTGTGGGTGTAATCAAAGCTGTGGACAAGAAGGCTGCTGGAGCTGGCAAGGTCACCAAGTCTGCCCAGAAAGCACAGAAGGCTAAATGAATATTATCCCTGATACCTGATACCCCAGAAAGACTGGTCTCAGAACTGTTTCTCCCAATTGGCCATTTAAGTTTAATAGTGAAAGATTGGTTAGTGATAACAATGCATCGTAAAATCTTCAGAAGGAAAGGAGAATGTTTTGTGGACCATTTTTTTTTTTCGAGTGTGTGTGTGTGGCAGTTTTTAAGTTGTTTTTTAAATCAGTACTTTTTAATGGAAACAACTTGACCTAAATCCGTCACAGAATTTTGAGACCCATTAAAATGAAGTTTAGTGAGAAAAATATATCATTTCAGCTTTACTGACAGAACTTACTGATACTTGGCCTCATTTTGAATGAGGATTAACTTTAAAACATGAATATGTAAGCTGCATTAACTAAGCAAAAATGTGAATCCAGGTCTTTGTTTCCTAAAGTAGTATATTGATAGCCCAATGTAACTGTTCTTTTAGAATTTTAGTTTTCTGCCAAAATGTTATGGCCATTTATATATTATATAATTGTTTAAGTTACATTCATGCTCCTGTCTTTGAAAATGACGTGCCATATTTTTGTCCAGAAGAAACATTTATTGATACTAAATACCTGTTACACTGAGCCTTAAAAAGGTAGAAGCTAAATTTTCTCTTTGTACAGTTACTTTGTTTCAGTTGACTTCAGGCAAATCCTGGACTGTAAACTACATAGTCTAGTTTGTCACAGCTTGGTCCCAGTGGGGTATACACTATTGATATTAATGCCAGCTAACATCCTAGAAACTAAATGCTCTTAAATTCTATATGTTAAACATACTTCAGCAATGACTATAAGGTAAGAAACTAGATCTAGTTTGTAATAGTTAAAATATTTAACTCCACACATACACTTAGTTCATATTCCCGTATACCTCTCTCTCTGGGAGGTGCAGCATTTTCTCTCAGCCCTGGTTCTTAATAACTTGATCTTGTTACTTCTGAGGCCTACCTCTGTAGTCTCTTGACATTCTTCTGTGCTGCAGAATTAGTGCTAATGCCCCATTTCATAGCTGGCCTCCATAACTGGGCTGTGATGTCCTCAGGAATAGGGATTATATCTTCCTGGGAGGTAGTGGGATGGAGCATGGAGAACGAGCTTGAGCTCACATCTACATTGTGTTCTTTACTGATAAACAGTGGGTAGGTTAACCTCTCTGTGAAAAAACATTAGCTAAGTGAAAGATACACCACTTACCTAGAATGTTGGTTTTATATATAATTTTTTTTAAACGCACGCAAATAACTTAATAGTGCCTGCAAGGAAGTCCTTTGTGAATGAATGACATTTTTCATGTTCTGTCACCCCTTCTTTAGCTGTTTGTGGTAGCACTCAATACCATGTTTGCTTATAGTATATCTTTAATAAAGGATTCTTAAGTTACTGTTCATTGTTACAGAAATTTGCTTTTTCTCAAAGAGTGTCTAGATTCTTGAAAGTGAGGAGTTTTTACTTATGAAAGCTATTTGTATTTTGCATATATGAAAACAAAAAGGGCTTAGTTCTTAGAATATTAACACTTTTTCATGCCCTCACCTTATGTCTGCCATTTTGCAGGAAATAGATTTGGAAGATTCTTTGGATTCTTCCACATTGCCCAAATTGGAGAAGTTTTACATTTCTTTTATCCAGTCACAACAATCAGAAGAAGGGAGCCAGTTTGAACCTAACAACATTTTGACTCAGCCAGAGGAAACCCAACTATCCCCAGCAGGATCCAGTTCAACTCCTACAGTGGTTGACTCCCAAGAACAAGAGTCTGCTTCTGGTAGGTTTACATATACTTGTGCATGCTCTGAATTGACATGTGATATTTTACCATGTTGCTAAAAACCTTTCTGTCTTGGAGGCTATATTTTGAAAGATTGCTGGTTTTATCTTTTATCTCATATCCTCATCTCATTTTGATGTTCATTTGCTCCCTTTAACTCTGTCACTCTTTTTTTTTTTTTTTTTTCTGGGTTTTCACATTTATATAGAGTAAAAGTTTTGTCAGTTTTTAGATGAGTGGCGCTTTAAGTGTTGACAAATGTATACAATTATGATATAAAACATTATCATTCACTTGGAAAATGTACTTGTGGCCCTTTGTGATCAGTCCCTCTGCCAGCTGGCTGGTCTATAGTGTAGCATTTTCCTTTTACTAGAATCACAGAATACTATATGTGGTTTTATGTCTACTCTGTACACTTCCATGATAGTATTTCTTTTCCATGTAGTATTTCCCTAAAAGTGTTTGCAGGGCTGGAAAGATAGCTCAGCAGTCTAAAGCACCTGCTTAGGGAAGCGTGCAGGGACTGTGGTTCAATCCCTGGCACCATGTACTGCACCAGCCCCTCCCACCCCCAGGGCAGGCTAAGCTGACCGCAGTCTGCCACTGTGAAAGTAAGTGTGGAGATTGCTTTAAAAACTAAGATTGGATGTGAATCCATCTGGACCTGGACTTTTCCTTGTGGTAGGTTTTTTTAATTACATTTTCAATCTCATTTCTCCTTACTGGGTTATTGAGAGTTTGTATAATCTTCTAACTCAGCTTTGGCATTTCATATGTGTCTAGGAGATTGTCCATTTCCTCTGTGTTTTCCATCTTGTGAGAGCAAAAATTTTGGAAGTAGGTATTAATGATCTTCTGAATTTCTCTAGGTTCTGTAGTAATTTCACCCTTTTCATTCTGTATCACATAAATTTGGATTTTTTTCTTTCCTTTTTTTGTTTAGGTTGTCTAGGGGTTTATCATTTTATTTATTCTTTCAAAGAACCAACTCTTTGTTCATTTATTCTTCGTATTGTTTTCATCTCCAGTACATTAATTTCTTTACACTTTACAATTTCCTGCCTTCTTTGAGTTTTGGGCTTGACTTGCTCTTCTTTTTTAGGAACTTGAGGTGCAGCATAAGATCACTTATTTGGGCTTATTCTGTTTTCTTAATGTGCAAATTTACTGCTATAAATTTTCCTGTTAAGAGGAAAATGCAGCTTTTATTGCATCCCACAGGTTTCAGTAAGTTTGTGTCTTCATTTGTAAATATTTTTTAATTTCTTGTTTAATTTCATTTGTGATCCACTGGTTGTTTAGGAGGTTGTTACTTAATTTCCATGTGTTTATCATGGTTTTGTAGTTTCTTTTGTAATAATTTCCAGTTTTATTGCACTGTGATCCAGTGGTATGCATGGGATAATTTCAGTTGCTTTGCATTTACTTAAGAGTGCTCTGTGTGCTAGTATATTTTCTGTCTTGGAGAATGTCCTGTGTGCAGCTGAAAAGAATGTGTATTCTGTTGTTGCTGGGTAAAACATTCTGTAAAGATCTACCAAGTCAATTTCTTCACAAGATTGGTTTAGTTCTGTTATTTCTTTGCTGATTTTTTTGCCTAGTTGATCTATCTCTTTGTGACAGTGGCATGTTAAAGTCCCCCATTACTGTGGTTAAAGTCCCCCAATTCTGTGGTTCCTTTCCGTTCTATAAACTGATGACTTCTCTTTGTAGAATACCTGTCAGTACCCTTTGTTAGGGTTGGTTTGGTGGTTATGAATTTCTTCAGTTGTTCTTTGTCATGGAAGGGTCTTATTTTGCCATTGAATTTGATAGTTTTGCAGGGTACATTGCTTGCTTGATTTTTCATTTCTGTTAAATCAGTCTTACGTAAGTGGGTGCCCCTACATTGGGTGCATTTATACTTCTAATTGTTATCTCTTCCTCTTGCATTTTTCCCTGAACAAGTATGTAGTGGCCTTCTTTATCTCTTTGAATGAGTTGGTTTGAAGTTGATATTGTCAGCAACCAAGATAGCTACCCCTACTTTTTCTGATTTCCTGTGGCATGGAGGATTGTTTTCCATCATTTGACTTTTAGTTTGTGAATTTCTTTTTGAGTTAAATGTGTTTCTTGTATGCAGCATATTGTTAGGTTTTGTTTCTTAATCCACTCTGCTAGGCTATTTCTTTTGATTGGTGAATGGAGGCCATTTACATTGATGGTTATAACTGATACATAGTGGCTAGTCTTTGTCATTTTCCTGCTATAGATTTAATACTTTTTCTGTCTTTTTAATTACTTGCTCAATTCTGTGGTTCCTTTCCATTCTATAAACTGATGACTTCTCTTTGTAGAATACCTGTCAGTACCCTTTGTTAGGGTTGGTTTGGTGGTTATGAATTTCTTCAGTTGTTCTTTGTCATGGAAGGGTCTTATTTTGCCATTGAATTTAATAGTTTTGCAGGGTACATCAGTCTGGGTTGGAAGTTATTTTTTTTCAGGACCTAAAATACTTCACTCCAAGCTCTTTTTGAGTTGATGGTTTGTGTTGAGAAATCTGCTGTGATTTCAGTGTAGGTGATCTCGTTCTTTTCTCTTAACAGCTTTTAATAGTCTTTCCTTTTTCTGAATTTCTGGGATCCTGATTATTAATGTATCTAGATGTAGATTTATTTTGATTATGATTAATTGGAGTTCTGTATGCCTCACATATGTATGTAGGGCCCATGTTTGGAAAATTTTCTGCTAGTACTTATGCAGATAGTCTTTTTATGTCATTTGTACTGTGTCCCGCTGCTTCATTGACACCTGTTTTTATGTTATTTTCCTTTGTGTCTTCTTGTACTGCTGAGTTGTTATTTTGATTCCTTGTTAGTTTTAAGAGATCTTTCCTTTCACATTCATTAGCTGCACCACTCTTCAATGTCTGAAAATCTATCTTCAGTTTCATTGATTTTGCCAGCTTTTGATGGAGTTCTTAATTTCCTGGATAGATGTTTGAATTTGTTTCATGCATTCTGATTCTTTTCTGTATTACTGACTTAGTATTTCCATCATTTTTATATTCTCTATTTTTTTTATCAATGCCTTTTTTAGCTGTGCTGAGCAATTCTTTCATGATTGTTGTCATTTCTTTTTTGACCTGAGAGACTTATTTCTGCTCTTGCTTCTTCCATAGCCTGATGGATTTTGTTTCTTTACTTCAGTTGCTATCATTTCAGGAATTTCAAGGGTGTCATTTCCAAGTTCTTGTATATCTTTGTCCTGGATTTCTTCTGGGAGGGCTAGCAGATTGAGATTACCTTTTGCCCCCAGGGGCCTTTTGGAGTTTTCATGCTCCCACTATGAACTCAGACAGAGTCCCTCAGGCCACCCAGGGTCCACCATAGTTCTTAAACAACTCCAGGAAAGCTCTGTGCCTGCTCACACTGGGCCCACAGATCGTGGTGTCCTGCATCCCACAGGCCATTCAGATTCCTTTTCAGTTCTTAAATGTTTGGACTGGCACCAGCGGAAGCTCCACACCTGTGTGCTGGGGGCTAAGGTAGGCTTACCACTGGACTTGGAGGGGTTTTTTTTTGAAGGAAGGTTTTTATCATATGTCTTTAACAGATACAGTGTCATTTATGTTATCAATTCCTTCTTGAGTGAATACTAATTTTCTCTGGCAAGGAATTTATGTTTTGTAATCTCAAAATTCTGTTAGCATAAATTACGTGTATTGTGCCCTCATTTTAGCACCTGTAGAATCTTAATGCAGTCATATATGCTGTCATTCCTGAATTGGAAATTTGTGGGTTTTTTGTGGTTTTTTTTTTTTTTTTTTTTTTTTTTTTTCTTGATCTCGGTGTACCTACAGGGCTTTTTAAGTGGTTTCTGATTGGGCATTTATTTTATTATTTCGTCTGTTTCCATTAGGCCTAATTCTGTCTTTTCTAATTTTTCACTTTGAAACTTTAACTTACTTATGTTATAGCCAGTTTTTACTAATATAAATGATAGACTTCCCTCTGAATGTGCTTTAACTACATCTCATAAATATTTGATGCTATTCTTACTTTCATTTGGTACAAAATATTTTCTAATTTTCCTTATGAATTTTCCTGTTTAACCAATCGGTTATCTAAAATAGCAGTCCCCAACCTTTTTGGAACTAGGCACTGGTTTTGTAGAATATAGTTTTTCCATAGAGCTTGGAGCATCAGGGGTTCATGATGATTCAAAGCACATTTATTGTGCACTTTATTTCTATTATTACATTGTAACATATAATGAAATAATTATACAACTTCCATAATGCAGAGGTAGTGGGAGCCTTGCAGTGGGTTTTCCTGCAACTAGATGATTCCATCTGAGCATGATGTGAGACAGTGACACTTGAAGTGTATTGTTTATGTCCAGTCTCTTCAGTAATCTTGGAGTGTTACAGTTCAATGATCAAAATTTCCTTTTAGAACACCCCATAGAGCTCTTCTTTATATAACTCCTCACAAATGCACTAACATAAGAGTACATGCTGCTGTGCTAGATGCTAAAAATGCAAAGCTGAATAAAAGAATTATGCTTAGTTTTTCTTTATTTTTCTTTTAAATCCATGTTAAGATAGCAGTGCCAGTCTGTGAGGAGTTTGCATAGTAGATAACACAGTAAGGAGCTTGTGCCAGAATGTTAAATCAACTGCATGTACATGCTGAGCAATTGTTTAACACACCTGGTTTTTTGGGGTGTTTTTTTTTTTTTTTTCTTTTTAAGGCAGATCTTTCTTGAAAGAAGCAGTGTCTTGGCTTACTGTCATCAACAGCTTCCCTTACACTCGGCAGGTAATAAATAGTTATACCAGCCACTCTGGATCTCACCAGTCTCGCGCATTTATCTGAACATGCCTAGCATCCCCTTCCTTGGCCTTTAGAAATAGTTGGGCATTGGAGTTCCAGAATTTCATTTCATTTAAAGGATGGTTTCTTCATAGTTCAAACTAATGCTTAAGACAGTTATCTTATGGCTAACTGGCTTTTGGTGCTTGTTAGCAATCAGTTTGATATTGTTTTATTACTGGCACAGACTTAGACTCACTGTGGCAGTAGGGAGTGCCTATGAACACCATTTTCTCTCAGTGATAGAATGAAGCAGGGGAGCTTCTCTCTGGGATTTCATTTTATTCCATCTTCCCTTCTTTGTTCGTAAGTACATTTTCCCCTTCTCTTGGCTCTTATCTCAGTGAGAATTTATTTTATCTCAGCATGTAATTCACATGACCATTTCCTGTTCACTTGTTGGTTTGTTTCTGAGTCTTATTCCCTGACTGGTCACTGGGAATTGTCACTGCCCAACAGAAAATTATTGTAATATGTGTTGGTAAAGAGCTAAAATAGGAGAGAGAAATTAGTGACTCTGAGAACCCCTTGAAAAGGCTTTGGTGTTTCTTTTTTAGTGGCAAGCTCTCCAGAGAACCAAAAGAATGAAGATTTGTCCAGTAATAATACTATCCCAACAGTCAAGACCAAGAGTCAAGGATCTATGGACCAACTGTCTTTTATTTTGTCTCCAGAGCACAAGATTTCTCAGCAGCTCTACATTCCTCGAAGCACAGCTACTGCTGCCTTAGGGGCCGCTGCGCGGTTGGCTACCTCCAGGAGCTTCCTGCGTTGGTACCCCAATGTGAAAGGGATGGAGGCATGAGGGAAGGCAGAGGAGTTTGAGCCAGAGTAGTATTTTGGTAGTTAATACTTTTATCTGTCTGTAACTATATGTAGCTTTATTATGCTGTCCATTTGTTGTGTAAGTGTTGATGTTTAAGGTTAATTTTTATTTTTACTAATGACATTCTATATAATTGCCTCACCTTTTTAAAATGTAGTTGAAAGGAATTTCTGTTTCTATATTTTGATATTCAGTGAAAATTGAAATACTGTATTTAGCAAGTCAGAATATTCTTACATACCTGTCTCTAGGAAAAGGCTATCTGAATTTTGAGGACACTGCTTTCTGTTTAATTTGCAATCTTTAATATCATAGAGGAAATACATACCTTGAAGCTTTGGTCATATGAATACTTTTTTTTTAATACTTTTACATTAAAAAAATAATAAGCTCTTAGCCAGGGGTGGTAGCGCACACCTATAATCCTAGCACTTGAGAGGCAGGATGATCACTGAGTTTGAGGACAACCTAGGTTACATAGTGAGTTCAGGGCCAGCTTAGAATAGCAAAACTGTCTTCAAAAATTTCTGTTCACTATGAGAAAATTTCTGAAGCTTAGCTCAGGCCATCTCTATAGTTATCACAGTTCTCAGCCTTAAAGTAGCATGGTTCAACAGTGGTATTATTCAAGCCCTTACATAACATACTAAGTTATACTGTGTGAAGTATTATATGGCATTCTGTTGAACTCATACTATAAACAAAAAGAAAAAACTAAGAAGTGAGCTTGAACCCAGGACTTTGAGGCCAGTTAGAACAACATAGCAAGGCCCAATCTCAGAGATATAAAAATCCTAATTAACTTTTGATTACGGTATATCTGTAAGAATGATGATGTACTAATGGGGGAAAAAAAGACAACCTAGAAATTGTGTTCATAAGGTGACCAAACATATCAGACTTTTGGCATTACTGGCAATTGAAGTCAGGGCCTCACACATATTGGGCAAGTGCTCTTTCACCAAGCCACAGCCACAGCCCAATATCAGGTAGCTTTACTGGACAGTTTCATAATGGAACAGTGAAGAGTTAAATGTTATATCAGACAGTCAACTGGGATAGGAACTAACTTAACTGTGGTTGTCATATAAGCTTAAATAGTTATCCATAATTTGTTTTTAAAGAGGAAAATTTTTCTAAGAGGAAAATTTATTTTTTTAATAATGAACCGAGTCTGACTAATGTACTTTTTTTCTCCAGATGAGCAGTTGCTGGATTTGAAGTAAGAATCTAGTAGAAGCAATAGGTCGAAGTAGAAAGGCTGACAGGACACATTTGGTAGATTAAAATGTAGCCTGCTCTACAATAGCAGCCAAGTGTCAGGAAGATCCCTGCCAAAGCTCGGTAGTCTTTTTGTAAGTTTAATAATAGATTTCATAACCTGACAGGGACTAATTTTGTACCTTGCAAGTTAGAGATTATGGAATAACTGTGTTAAGGTTTTGTTAAGAGTCCTGGCCTTTTGCAAATAAAGACAGTCATTTAGACAAAGCCATCCCAAACTGATGCGTTTCTCTACCCTTTGAAAGAAACCTGTTAATAATTAATGGATAACATCTCATCTGAGTTAGAGCAATGAATGAACATTTGAAAGGCTTGTACATTGTAATTACTTGTTTGGCTAGGCCAGCCAATCTGTCAGTCTGTTTAGTTTGTCCCTAAAATGCAGGCTTTACTTGGTGAATACCCAAAGTGTCTCATTTAATAGAAAAAGAATAAATAGGTTTCTATATATGGGCAAGAAGTGCAAAAAGAAAGAAATTTTAGGGCCAGGGAGATGGCTCAGTGGAATAAGCGCTTCCCTGGCAAGCGCAAGGTCCTGAGTTCAATCCCCTGTTCCGCAAAAAAAAAAAAAAAAAAGAAAGAAATTTACAAAAGATAGGTGAGCTGCAGATGGGGGCACATGCCCCCCCCTACTTAGCAGACTGGAGCAGAGGGGCTGCAAGGTAAGTCCCACCTGAGCAACTCAGTAAGATCCTGTCTCAAAAAAGTAGGGTAGGGATACAGCTCAGTGACAGAGCACTTCTGCATCTGATACTTAGTACCACACATACACAAGATACGCAATGCTCTGTGCATCCAAAAGATAGGTTGACGTCCGCACTTTGAATGTTTGCAGTGTTAAGCGGCTGACGTGCAGTAAGGCAAATCTCACACATGTGAGATACCCATTGCCCAGCTCCAGTCATTCCTGTACCCTGAAGTTTCTGGCCTGCATGCAGCCTGTGTCTAACCTACCAACTTAGCATTACCTGATTTTGATCTAGGAAGGACCTCAGATGAGGAACTGCAAAGCCTAGAAAGACTAACTTGCCTGTACTCACACAGCTTGAATTCCCATATCTACTAACCCCTAGCCCAGGGCCCTTTACACAAAAAATAGTGCAGTTTCGTCTTGTTTAACTGATTTGTACCAGAAGACACAAATTTGGTAGATCACTCTAAAAGAATAGCTGAAAAACACTGTTGGTGTTAGTGGAGGGAAGGGGACTGATACCACCTATTCTTGAACAATTTAACAGTGGGAGGGAGCCGAGGAGATAGCTAAGTAGAATAAGTGCTTGCCTGGCAAGGGCAAGGGCCTGAGTTCAATCCCCAGTTCCGCAAAAGAAAGAAAAAAAAAAAGAAAACAGTGGGAAATTCTACAGCCAAGTATGAAAAAGTGGCATAAAAAGTGAGATGCCTGTATCTTCCAGAAAAATCTTTCTAAAGCTTCCTATCAAATTTATAGTATATTACAAGGCTTCTCTAATATTTTTAGAATTGTACATGACATGGCCAGCATTCACAATATTCTTAATTGTGTAGGAGCCATTGCTAAATTTTGAAAATACTTTATTTCCAAGATTCCATGTCCTCTGTTCCAAAAGACTTGACTGACCTAAGAAGTCATCCAAGGTACACAGCTGCATACTTGAGGTCTCTGTGTACTTCGTGTTTAGCCCCACCCCCAGCAGTAGGTGTTCCTTGCCTCAATCTTAGCAAGTCACCAGTCAGCTTGACAAATGTTTTGGATCCTTGGCCTACTGGAACCCAAAGCCTTTAAAGGTCATGTTGTAAACAGTGTGCAAAGAAAATGTTAATTGTTCAGATTTTTATATTAATATAATTGACTTATGTACCATTTTTGATGTGAAATTGAGTATGTAGTCATAATTAAAAACTAAGAGAATATACTTCCAGCTAAACTTTTTGGGGTTATAAACATAGTGTTCAGTAAATGCTTAAAAATCTATTAGTAATAAGCTGTTTATGTTTCTGTTAAATATTTTTAATTTGCGCAGAAATGGGTTTAGGAATGTTAACTTGATTATTCTTGATACAATTTGGATAGATTATTTAATGAGGAAACCATGTTTGTGACTCTTCTCAACTTTTGTTTACAAACCTAGTGACATTGTTGGGATCAAGATTAGCTTAATTTTTAGGGTTGTAACAGCATTTTGTTTGATTTAAATATTTATGAAGTTAGAGTGTGTTTTGTCAAAAATGTTTAGGTGTTTGTTATTTTTATTATGTTGATTCTGAAGGAATGAAAATTTCAATTGAGTATGAGATAGAAAGATCTTAATTGAGTAAATACAAAATTTGCATAATTGGAAAACAGACTTGACCCTTTCCTTAACTTTGTATTTGTTTTTGGCATGACTGCTTCATTTTCCATGAGGATCTTTACAGACCTTTGCTAGATTATAGATAAATACTGTTTGTTATTCCATGAAACTGAAACTTCACAGTTAAGTTCCTGGCAGCTGCATTTCAAGGGAGTTGTTTTCTTTTTTGTGTATAGAACATGCCAAGCTATTTCTAAGAGATCATCCAGACCTGAAAACTCCTGCTTGACACTGTACACCAGACAGCAAACCCAGTCCCATCTTGCTTCTGTCATTCAACACTCTGATTTGCCTCCTCCTCTTCTTCCACATTTAGAGCCTTTGCTGCAGTCCAGCGCAGACTGTTCCCAGGTGGATCTCAAATTCTATAATTTTTCCTCAGTGTGTCACACTTCACTTAGCCACGTGTAGAAACCAAAGAGTTGAGTTTGTTCCATACATTATTTACAAGAACAAATGACAAAGCATTCATAACTGCAATGTAACTCTGATGAGTTCTGTTCTGGTATTATGTGTATAATATGCCTTCCAGTTAAATAAAATTTTATCATTTCATGGGGCCAGTGAGATGGCTCAGTGGAATAAGTGCTTCCCTGGCAAGCGCAAGGGCCAGAGTTCAATCCCTGGTTCCGCAAAAAAAAAAAAAAAAAAAAAAAAAAATTCATTTCAGATACTAATAGGCAAAGAATATCCTTCCATTGTCCCTTCCTCTATGATACTTTCCTCCTCACAGATAGCTTCTTTGCTTAAAGGCTTAAACTTAAGCAGGTGAACAGTATGATGGGCCAAAGTATCTTTTCCTTTCTGATTTTTACCCCCTTTGGCAGAACCGGGGATTGAACTCAGGCCCTTGTGCTTGCCAGAGAAGCACTTTTTCCACTGAGCCATCTCCCTAGCCCCTCCCTTCTGAATTTTAAAAGTAATTTTGCTGTATTGTTCTAGAGTAGGACAATTAAGTTGAGAAGAATGGGACATTTGGGTATAATTAAGTGGTAATGTCCATTTTATGTTCCATATTTTAGGCAGTAGAACGTGTTAACAAGTGGTTTTGTAACAACTTTAGCAGTTGTGACAGATTTATCTTTACTGAACACTGTTTATATTCAGAGTAATGTGGTCATTAGTTTCCACAGAAAGGTGAGTGAACAGTATGATGGGCCAACATATGTTTTCCTTTCTAATTTTTCCCCCCTTTGGCAGAACCGGGGATTGAACTCAGGCCCTTTACTGGGAATTACCTGGTAGTTAGCTTTATTCAAATTAATGAGGCTCAGCAAAGCTGTCTCAGAAACTTGAGAGAAAAATGACAACTTTACAAATAAAAGCCAATCAGTTGTAGTTACCAATACATCTGCATCCTTGTACACTGGCTTTGCTTTGGATCTTTTCAGATTTACAGAGTAATTCATATTGTAGAAACCAATAGGTGCTATCAGATCTAGCTTTGTGGATAGCCAAGGCCAAAAAGGAAGTGCTA